TCTGCTGTTTCTCACAGCTGGGTGATAAGCAGCGTCTTAGGTGGTTCACCTGGGCCGGGCCACTCAGAGTCGCTGGGTTATGATGCTGTATGTGGAGGTGGGGTCAGAGCAGGGAAATGGCGGCGCCCTCCACTGCCGCTAGCCAGGAGACCCACCCGGCCCCGGTCCAACCGCCCACTCCCTCGCCTGTCCGCCGGCGCACAAATGTGCGACCACAGTCAACACGCAGCACCGCTCCCCCGCTGGCTCCGCCGAGGTCGCTCGCCTGGTTGCTCGCTCCGTCGCTCACTAGGTCCAACCCTGCGCCTGGATTCCGCGCCTGAGTTTGTCTGACCGAGTCCTCCTGTGCAACCCCGCTTCACCAGCAGCTGGTTTCGCCCCTTACCGGTCAGGCTGAAGAATTTGTTGTTAACGGACTTCCAAAAAGTTCAATTTTCCGTGTTCTGGCTGTGTTTTCTATTGCTAATATTTAGTTGTCTCTAAACTTGGTTGTGTGAGAAGGCACGGCACATCCACCTATGCCTCCATCTTGGCGGAAGTCCAGAAAGTTTTTAAAAATGTGAATTAAATAAACTATTCATTTCTTTTGGTTAAATAATACTAAGTATCTGGGTATTATTAATAATTACAATGTAATTGATTATCATTTGACCGACGGTAGTAGTCCATTCAGTGAAAATCAAGTCACATGTTCTCTGCCCTATGAACAAAATGTCTTCTCTTTTTATTTCTTTCTATTTTATTTAATTATTTTTCAACTACAGTATTCTGTCTTTTACTCCTATCCCAGCCCACCCCCCCAGTGCTCCCCACCTCCCTCCCATTTCCAGCCCCCTTAGTTGTTGTCCATGTGTCCTTAACACTAGTCCCTGTAAATCCTTCTCTTTTTTCCCCTGGAATTCCCTCCCCTCTCCCCCTCTGGTCACTGTCCCCCTGTTCTCGATTTCAATGTCATTGTTTTTATTTTGCTTGCTTGTTTGTTTTGTTGCTTAGCTTCTTATTAAAGGTGAGATCATATGGTATTTGTCTTTCACCGCCTGGCATATTTCACTCAGCATAATGCTTTCCAGTTCCATCCAAGCTGTTGCAAAGGGCAGGAGCTCCTTCTTTCTTTCTGCTGCATAGAATTCCATTGTGTAAATGTACCACAATTTTTTGATCCATTCATTTACTGATGGGCACCTAGGTTGCTTCCAGCTCTTGGCTATTGTAAATTGTGCTGCTATGAACATTGGGGTGCATGGGTTTTTTTGGATTGGTGTTTTAGGGTTCTTAGGATATAGTCCCAGCAATGGAGTTGCTGGGTCATAAGGCAGGTCCATTTTTAGTTTTCTGAGAAAATTCCATACTGTTTTCTATAATGGTTGTACCAGTCTGCATTCCCACCAACAGTGAACTAGGGACCCCTTTTCCCCACAACCTCTCCAACATTTGTTGTTTGTTGCTTTGTTTATGATAGCCATTCTGACTGGTGTAAAGTGGTATCTCATTGTGGTTTTAATTTTTATCTCTCTGATAGCTAGCGATATTGAGCATGTTTTCATGTGTCTCTGGATGCTCTGTATGTCCTCCTTGGAGAAGTGTCTGTTCAAGTCCTTTTCCCATTTTTTAATTGGGTTATTTGTCCTCTTAGAGTGGAGTTGTATAAGTTCTTTGCATATTTTGGAGATTAAATACTTGTCTGAGGTATTATTGGCAAATATGTTTTCCCATACAGTTGAATACTATTTTCTTTCACCATGCAGAAGCTTTTTATTTTGATGAGATCCCATTTGTTAATTCTTTTCTTTATATTCCTTGCTCTAGGGGACATATCAGTAAAAAAGTTGCAGCGTGAAATATCTGAGATTTTCTGAGATTTATAAAGGTCTTTATATAAATTGAAAACTTATTTGAACAAATAATAAAGGAGAACTTCCCCAATCTGGCAAAGGCAATAGACTTCCAGGAAATCCAGGAAGCTTAGAGAGTCCCAAAGAAGTTGGACCCAAGGAGGAACACACCAAGGCACATCATAATTACATTACCCAAGATTAAAGATAAGGAGAGAATCTTAAAAGCAGCAAGAGAAAAGGAGACAGGTACCTACAAAGGAGTTACCATAAGACTCTCAGCTGATTTCTCCAAAGAAACCTTGCAGGCAAGAAGGGGCTGGAAAGAAATATTTGAAGTCATGAAAGGCAAGGACCTATAGTAAGATTACTGTATCCAGCAAAGCTTTCCTTTAGAATGGAAGGGCAGATAAGGTGCTTCCCAGATAAGGTCAAGTTAAAGAAGTACATCATAACCAAGCCCTTATTATATCAAATGTTAAAGGGACTTATCTAAGAAAAAGAAGATGATAAAAAATATGAACATTAAAATTTCAGCAAACTCACAACTATCAACAACTGAACCTAAAGAAATACAAAAACAAAGTATGCAAACAAGTAGAATGGGAACAGAATCACAGAAAGGGAGATCACATAGGGTTTATCAGGGGGTAGGGGGAGAAGGGAGAATGTGGGAAAAGGTATAGGGAACAAGATGCATAAATGGAAGGTACAAAATAGACAGGAAGAGGTTAAGAATAATATATGAAATGAAGAAGCCAAAGAACTTATGTATAGGGCCCATGGATATAAAGTAAAATATGGGAATTCAGGTGGGAGGGAGGGGAATAATGCAGGGGGGAATGGGAAAACTGTAATAGCATAATCAATAAAATATATTTTAAAATATTAAAAAAATAAGATAACAAAAAAGAAAACAGAAAGCTCTGGATCAAAAGTAGGTTACTGGCATTACAATTGCTAAGGCCCCATGTATGACTCAGTATCTGTGTGTATTGAGTAGGATTATATCTTCAAGTCAATTGGGGATGGACATGGAGTTTAAACATCATTTTCATAAAGACCTTCTTGTTCAGAGTTTTATCTGCTAGAGCAGGGATAGTAGGAATCCAGGCCAGGTCCTGACTTCTATTAGTTTTCTGCCCTTGGTATGATTAGCTAGAACAATAGGGAAGTATTATGTCACCTTATTTAATGGATTAATATATTTATAAATAAATTTAGTTGCAGATTAGATAATAGCTGGGTTGCTCTAAATACAAGCCACAAAAAAAAGAAAAGAAAACAAGACACTTTTCCAACAATACAATTTTAGTAAATAGCATGGCTTCAGAGAATGCTCCAATGTTTTAAGAAATAAGGTAAAAACCTTAATTCTGTCTTCTGTCTTCTATCTTAATGATTTTTCCCTAAAAGTCAGTATCTCTCTGAAGTGATCATTTAACATATGAGTACAGTATGATCAATTGACCTAATGCAGTCCACATTTTGTATGGAAATGTGTCTCTGTGTGAGTCTTTCATTTAGTGGGATCTCATAGATATCTGGCACGACAGCACCAAGAGCAGCTGCCTAAAGACTGATGATGACAGTGAGAACTGCTAGAGGAATGGAAATTAACTCCATCGTGTTAGATATGCGTGTACTTTAATTTAACATGTATACAAATATCATGGAAGATTGTCCATTTTACTAACATTCCTTGCAAAGGTTGGGTGCAAGAATAAATGTGTGTATAATATGCAATGAAAAAAATTACAATACTCCTTGAAGTGAATGGTAGGAATACTCAATGTAATTTTTATAACATGAGACAAACACAAGGAAACATTTTTGAAATTACTATATAAGTAATGGGAAATATTTGCTATTTTCTTATTTGGTATTCATCTGAAGATCATTTTGGTTTAAATGCATCTAGTGTACAAATCAAGGTTAAGGTATGTATATACATTGTGTTGTTTAGACATATAAGTCTTTTGTATGAGGAATCTACTTTTTATTATTTTAAAGCTCTAGTATCAACAAAGTAGAATTATAGGTACTGATCATGGAAAGAAGAAAATGTGCCAGTAGTTGACAGCTCCTCACACCCAGTTTAATATGTTGATGAGTTATGGAGAAAGCACCACTGTAGTAAACCAAAGTGTGCTCACTGTTATATATCCAGATGAAAGTGAACAAAGCAGTGAGATATTTAAGTATTTTATCTAGCACGCCAGGTTCCACTGATTCCCTCTTTATAGCATTAATTTGGGGAAACAGGACTGATTCATATGGGTTTCAGGATAAACATTTTACATTATTTTTTACTGTTTGCCCTCTGTTTTTGGAACATGACTTGAACTTGTGTAATAAAAAGACTATTTTAAGCCCTGGCTGGTGTGGCTCTGTGCATTGAATGCCAGGCTGTGAAACAAAGGGTTATCAATTCAATTCCCAGTCAGGGCACACACCTGGCTTGCAGGCCAGGTCCCCAGTAAGGAGTATGTAAGAGGCAATTACACATTGATGTTTCTCTTCCTCTCTTTCTCCCTCCCTTCCCCTCTCTCTCAAAATAAATATGTAAATAAATCTTTAAAAAAAGACTATTTTGAAAATATCAAAATATTTAATTGAATCATTATATTATCATCTGTATCATATGTATTATTTTAAAATGTATTCATACAATTTGAGGATCTAGTGATAAATCAGGTCTTAGAGTTTTTGTTTTAAGTAACCGATGACAAGAAATTTTTTTCATTTTTAGATGAATATAACTAATTTAATCTTAGAGCCCCCACCATATCCAACACATTTAAAAATATTTCTTCTCTTATGACATCGCTGGACAAAAAACATATGTAAGACTTACAATTTAAGGGATTTTCACCTCTAGTTATTTTTCCTGACAGATAAGCCAACCAATTTTAATGTCAAGGACTGTGCTTTGGTGATATCAACCTACTCCAAATGTACAAATGCACAGTAGAAAATAATCTAAGCATTCCCAAATATATTTATGTTTATATTATGTAGCTCAAAGATCTGAATGACTAGGAGATTTTTTAACTTTTCTTCAGATTTCATGGGTGATGCAAAATAACTATGTGCATTTTAAAAAGAATATTGACTAAAGATTCATTAATATTATAATACAGTATTCTAGTTCTAAGTTCTACTCACTTATCAGGAGTACAAAGGTCAAGGATCATTTCCTGGACGTTAATTTTAATTTCAGAAGGGTTTGTATTTGGCAGTTTAATTTTAACCTGAAAGAGAAAATGAGAAGAAAATGCTGTTATCTTGAAGAACACTTAATTTGGAAAGTATAAGAAAATATAGGGAAATGAGAACAAATATTTATTAAGTTCCAACTATGTATCAGGCTACGCCCTTTCCTCATAACAATCTTAAGTAGCAGGGATCATTACCAACATTTTACAGATGGAGAAACTGAAATACAGGGAAGTTTAGTGAGTGACCCAATAGTTTGTAATTTGACTAACATCTCTCTAACTTCAAAGCTATATAGAAATATTTCAGTTACTTGCCTGTAGCCTTCATTGTCTAAAGGTGCATTCCAGTGTACCTGTTCAAGCTGAAGACCTTCAACTGCCTTTATATCAGTGGGCCCTTTGTATTAAAAAAAAGTTTAGTTTTTATGTTAAGTATGGGTGGATTATGCCATCTGGTAGTCTCCTGATATAAGCTCCCATACCACATTTCCTAGAGAAATAAAGGAGTCTAGAAAGGTTGTTACATCAGTAAAATAAGAATATTTCTTCTACATAAAATGGGAATATTTATTAGTTTGGTAAGATTTCACTTGAAAATGACTCATTTCAATTACCAGATGCCCCAGAAATTACACTCCTGGATATATACCCAACAGCATTAAAAGCAGATGTTCAAACAAAAATATGCATGTAATGTTTTATTCACAGTAGCAGTATTCACAATTGCCAAAAGAGAAAACCACCCAAATGCATATGAACTAGTGAATGGATAACCCAAATGTGGTATATCCATAGAATGGAACATTATTCAGCTATAAAAAGGAATTAAGTACTATTAAAAGGATGAACCTTGAAATCATTAAATTAAGAGAAAGAAGCCAGGCACAAAAAGCCACCTATTGTAGGGTTTTTATGTGAGATATCCAGAATTGGCAAATCCATAGAGACTGAAAACAGATGAGTGGTTGCAAGAGGCTGGGGAGAAAGAAAAGAGGAGTGACTTTTAAATGAGTACAGATTTCCTTTGGGCTGATGAACATGTTCTGGAATTATATATTGGTGGATGGTTACACAACATTATGAATGTACTAAATTCTAATTTTAATGTAATAGACAAATTTTTATATATAATAGGCAAATTTTATATTAGGTATATTTTATCATAATACAAGGTCTCATCCCTCTAATTTAATTAATTTTGATAGAAGTTGATTATTTATGTATCTGTCTATCTGAGATGTCATGACATATGGTTTACAAAAACAAAGAAAAAAACATAAGCTTAAGGTAAATTATGAAGCCCTATTTAAAATGAGCTAAAAGACCTGAAATAGTGGACATCTAGTAATTTCAGAGCTAGAATGGCAAGGATAAAAAGCTAAAGGTTTTGAGGGCAATGCATATCGAATAACTAATAGGAAAAAATGGAGTTCCTTATAATAAACTTAAAGGAGGTAATAGTATTTTTGCAATATAAACTATGTACTCATACATGTCTGTGAGTTACAACTTACTTTATTAAATGTGTATATACAAATATAGGTAAATTGAGCTATAGAGGTCCTACTATCTAAATATATCCTATCCTCCTCACAGGAGATTCACGAGCCCCATCCTCCAGACTCCCCATTCCTCCTCCCCTGCTGAGCTCAGGCTTGTGGCAGAATCTTGGACAGACTGAGATGTATGGCTCTAGGATGGGGTCATTTTTCCTTCACATGTCCAACTGGAACATAGTCCTTCATTCATATGGCCAAATCTTGGTCTGTTTGGGCTTGATAAATTCTTCTGGCCTCATGGTGATGCTTCCCTGAGAACCAGCTCCATCACAAAAGTCTGTAGCACCCAGTGGGTGGCAGCTAGATTTGGTATACCCAGGGACATTTGCTAAGTGGCTTCAGACCCAGTATGGGAACTGAGTTTGAACGTGTATCAATCTAGTGAACAATAATCACCCTTACATGGTGACTCATTGAGACCTACCTCATGCAAGTTGAAAACTACCAGAGGATCTTTTGGTCACTGAGGTTATCAAGCAACTGGCCAGTAGAGGCATACAGAGGCAGATCTCGGGGTACCTTGAAACTTTTGCTGACCTTCCCCTGCCCCTGGGCCCAGTGGTAATAAAAACTGTCCTTTGTGCAGAGCTTGGTCCTTCCTGCACACAACTAGGCCCAGCAGAGGCAGTCACAAACTGTGGAACATTTTGTAGCTCTAAATAGGTTGCCAGTGCTAGTCACAGGCAGAGTCAGATACTGGCCAGCACCAGAGTCTCTCCATTGAGAGGCCCCAGAATAAATATAACCAGTGGCCAACTTCAGTCAACATCAGAGCAAGATCTAATTAGCTTCACAAATGGCATTTCCAAAAAAGATCATCGCAGGCATCAGACCCTGCTGAGGTGAATTCTGTTTCATACGGTTAGCATCTACACAGCAATTCACACACTGTGGTTTTGGTTGATCTTCACAGTCAGCCAGCCTGAGGGCCAACCCCATACATGAATGGGGGAAATAGCAATTAAGACATGATTACAACAGAAGGAACCATATAACCCACATAAGGGACATTCCTGGAGCACCAAGATTAGGTGATCAAGAAGACTACACCACTGGGTCCCACAGGATTCCTACTATATAAGGTCTCCCTACCAAGACTGGGAGTTATAGAAGATCTACCTAATACATAGAAACAAACATAAAGGGGCAGCCAATATGGTGAGACAAAGAAATAGGTCCCAAATGAAAGAACAGGATAAATATCCAGAAAAAGAGCTAAATGAAATGGAAGCTCAGATATAAAGTTTAAAAAAATGGTTATAAGGATGCTCAAGTAACTTAGTGAGAATGTCAATAAAGAGATAGCAAGTATTAAAGAAAAACAGAATAAAAAATAGAGTCAGAAATGAAGAATACAGTATCTGAAATGAAGGAATAAACAGCAGGTTGAATGAAGCAGAGGATCAAATCAGCAATTTGGAACACATGGTAGTAGAAAACACCCAATCAGAGCAGCAAAATTGAAAAAGAAATTAAAAAATAAGGATAGTTTCAACTATCCTCTGAGACAACATGAAGCATAATATCCACCAGAAGGAGAAGAGAGAGAGCATGGTATTAAGAATGTATTAGAAGGAGCAACTACAGAAAACTTCCCTAACCTGGAGAAGGAAAAAGAAACACCACTCCAGGAATTGCTGCAAGTGCCAAACAAGATAAACTGAAAGAGGCCCACACCAAGACACATCATAATTAAAATGGCAAACATTAAAGACAGAGAAGTTTAAATGCCACACAGAAAGTTAGTCACCTTTGGGGAGCTCCCATAAACAGTCAGTTGATTTCTCAACAGAAACTTTTTGGGGTGGAACAGATTGGCAAGAAATATCCAAAGTGATAAAAAGCAAAGACCTACAACCAAGACTACTTTGCCCAGCAAGGCTAATATTTGAAATTGAAGGACAAGTAAAGAGCTTGACAAAGAAGAAAAAGCTAAAGGAGTTTGTTGCCACAAACCATTATTACATAAAATGTTAAAGGGTCTTCTTGAAGAAGAAAATAGAGGAGAAGGAGGAGGAAAAACATAGGAATATTTTTAAAAGAATAAAATGGCAATAAATGTGTATCTATCAATAATCACTTTACATATAAATGTCTTAAATGCTCCAATAAAAAGACATAGGGTAGTTGAATGTAAAAGAAAACAAGACCCATACATATGCAGTCTAAAATAGATGCACCTCAGAATGAAAGATACAGACTAAAAGTAAAGGATGGAAAATGATACATCATGCAAGTGGAAATAGAACAAAAACCTGGGGTAGCAATACTTATATCTGATTAAGCAGAGAGAGACTATAGAGAAAGAGCTGGTTTACAGCTGTTGTGGGGTGGGGGTTAGACCTAGGTGGAGGGATGGATGGATTGAGTGAAAAAAAAAACCCTATAGTAAGAGACAAAGAAAGACACTGCATAATAATAAAGGTAGCAATCCAATAAGAGGATATAACACTCAGAAACATTTATGCACCCAACACAGGAGCACCTAAATATATAAAACAAATCCTGATGGACATAAGGGGAGAGAATGGCAGTAATACAGTAACAGTAGGGGATTCTAAAATCCCATATATATGGATAGATCTTCCATACATATAATCAACAAGAAATAGCAGCCTTAAATGATATACTACATCAGGTTGGTTTAATTGATATTTTCAGAGCATTTCAGCCCAAAGCACCAAAATATACATACTTTTTAAGTGGAAGTGGAACATTTTTTAGGTAGACCACATCTGAGGACAAAAAAAAGGTTCCAGTAAATTTAAGAAGATTGAAATAATATCAAGGATCTTCTCTGACCATAATGGTATAAAACTACAAATCAATCATGAGAAAAAATGAAAAATGCACAAAAACATGGAAGCTAAAAAACATGTTACTAAAAAATGAATGTGTTAACAATGAGACCAAGTAAGAAATCAAAAGATATCTTGAAACAAATGAAAATGAGAATATAACAACCCAAATTCTAAGGGACACAGTGAAAGCAATTTAAGTAGGGAAATTTATAGAATTATAGGCTTCTTGCAAGACTCAAGAAAAATCTCAAATAAACAATCTAATTTTGCACTTAAAAGAACTAGGAAAAGAACAAAAAACAAAGCCCAAAGGGAATAGAAGGGAATAAAGATCAAAGCAAAAAGAAACAGAATAGAGTCTAAAACACAGAAGGAAGAAATAAACATTCAACTTGAAGAAAATGAAAAAACAAGAATTCCAAAAAAAAAAAAAATGAGGAGAGGCTTGGGAATCCCCAGGACAACTTTAAATGTTCCAACATCTAAACCATAGGGGTGCCAGAAGGAGAAGAGGAAGAGCAAGAAGTTGAAAACTTATTTGAGAAAACAATGAAGGAGAACGTCCCCAATTTGGTGAAGGAAATAGACTTCCAGAAAGTCCAGAAAGCTCAGAAAGTCCCAGGAAAGTTGGACCAAAGGAGGAACACACCAAGACACATCATAATTAAATTAC